TGTTCTGGACAGCTACTCGGCGTCGGAGAAGCGAAATGTTTAGAGAGGAAGAGAGGAAGGGGTTGGTTATGACGATGAAGGTGACGATTGTCACGACGCTATCAGCTGATCACGACACTTTTTATCTAGAACTGGTTGAGAAATTTGAACAAGAGGGTTGTCGCCAGTTATCTTTGCTTTGCATGCACGAAAAATGCTCTGTGGCATCTAGTGTATCACAAACTTCGCGATTAAAAATTGTTTTCAGGGTCTACAAATAGGAAATAATGACGAGTCAATTCCACAACTATAGTCGTGATCTGTGCAGTAAGCACGTACATTTCATCGTGGTTTGTTGTATACACCTGGCTAAAGTTTGCGAACACGGCAGTGCTGATAATTTCGTAAAAGACTATATGCTGTGGTACTTTCGCGCTATAGCGTACACATAAATTAACTGCGAAGTGGTGCTAATGTGCGCCATCCTTGCTTCCATATCGGCGCGCTCATTTTCATCTAAGCTACAGTTCCGTGAACTACTCTGATACCTCAAGTTATGACGAATTGGCAGAATTCCATCGTGTGATTCAGCCACAAGGCCCTCGTTTAAGCGTACTATTCATTACTGAAAGCTAAGGTTTACAGTCTTAGCATTTAGCCCAATCGTGAGGTGGATGCGTCGATACAGATGGAATAGCCTCTAGAATAGCAACAATATCTGCAGCTCTTCATGCTGTTCGGCAGTCAAGGCAAAAGCTTTTGTTGATCTTGAAAATAAATTCGGTGAAGGTACGTAATATAGGCAGGGTCCCAAATGGCTCTTTGTTTATGGTATTCGGCCTATGATCCTATTATGCAGGTTTAGTCCCGGGGAATACAATAGTAATTCCATGTAGGCCTTCCCTGTACTGAATGGTGTCATTGCGCGTTAAAGAACCTCAAGAGTGCCGTAATTATCCGGAGCCCTTAACCATAGCATGCTTCGTTTTAATCACGGTTTGGCAAGCAAAAAACTGGATATTATTATAAGTTTTTTGGGAGGCACATGATCGTGCCTACAGTGGCGTCATCACAAAATCGGGGCCTTACACTCTTGTTTTACAGGCACTTGCAATGGCCGAAAGCGGAAACGGCAATTCAGTGTCGTATTGGCCGGGAGAGCTGAACAGTGGTGGTTGTGTTTAGACGGCACATTCAGTGTTCATTCTCGTTCGGATGCTTTATCATGGGACTACATGGAAAATGTGTCACTACTGGCCATTTTCTTTTCCATACCGTGCGCCATCGTCTCCGTGATACAGTGGGGGAAGTGTAGAAAGTACAGTGCTAGTTTACGAGTCACCTGTCCGAGAACAACATTTTTTTTTCCTGGGTTGGAAATGACTACAATAAATTTATGCAAACTTTTTTGGAAGCTTGCGCCAAATATTTCAGTTTGTCCTTAATTTGCTTCACTGTGACATACACGGCAGCCTGTCCATGCTCCTCACTTGCGAGCTTGTTGAAGAGTCCCCCCATCGGTACCTATAAAAACGTGTTTGTGTCCGAGCTCCGAGTTAGAACATGGGATCCCGCTGCAACTTAATTAGCAAATGCATTAGTGACGGTGTCCCTCGAAACGTTTTTTGTTATTAATAGTAGCTGAAGCTTCACGTACCAAAACAACAATCTGGTTATGAAGTAAGCCGTAGTGAAGGCCCTTGGAAACTTCGACTATCGCGTGTTCTTTAACGTGTTCTGACAAAGCACAGTACACTGTTTTCTGGCATATCGTTTCCGTCGAAATGCGAGAGCCTTGGCCTGAATCGAACCCATGACCTTCTGGCCAGCAGCCGAGCATAATAACCACTGCTAACTTTTTAGGTGGCGGTAGTGATGACGGGGCTTGTCTTAAGTAAGTACCTATTGTTTCCTGAGGCTTCCATTATGCCGAGCTGACAACGGAGCTACGTTAATGTCGATCGCCGTTGGGTTTGCGATGGCGCTCGCGGGCTTGCGCTGCACTCTGACATGTGGGGTTTAACGTCCCGAAACCACCATATGATTACGAGAGACGCCGTAGTGGAGGGCTCCGGAAATTTCGACCACATGGGGTTCTTTGACGTGCACCCAAATCTGAGCACACGGGCCTACATTTCCGCCTCCATTGGAAATGCAGCCGCCGCGGCCGGGATTCGAGCCCGCGACCTGCGGGTCAGCAGTCGAGTACCTTAGCCACTAGACCACCGCCGCGGGGCGCGCTGCACTCTAATTCTTTCTAAAGGGCTTTGGTCTTTCAGGAAAACTGCCGGTTTTTTTAAAGACCGTTGCAAGTGTCCGTGTAACAAGGGTATTACTTGCGTTTACTAATTAACGGCTGTTAGTTTTCTTTATCGGCTGTTGTAGCGTGTTTGTAATTTGTCAATTCTCCTCAAGAACATGGTGGTGGGGCTCCTGTGGCTTGGTGTTTCTCTTTTTCTCTCGTTTTTTTTTATTTCTTGCGTATCGCTTCATGCACTCCAACTACGTATTCTCGGTCATTTTCTAAAGAAAAACAAGAGCAACACGCTTCGTGCGCTAGCTAGTTCATGGTACCATCATCGTTTGTTTTATGTTAAATCGCACGATCGAGATTCGCCGATTATTTTGTTTGCTAGCACTGTCAGACTTCGGTAGCTGTTTCCCCTATTTTACAAACACTGACAGTCATGACAGGATTCCGCTTTTGTGTTCAATGTTGCTTTATAAAGTTTAGCCCTGGTATTTTCTCAGCTGTAGCCTATAACACCTATAAGAACAGCACAGCTGAACCAGCTTCCCGAGCCTCTGCATTCGATTTTTTTTATCCTGCTCACAAGATTGCAAGGCTGTTTTTTATTCTTTATCTTTTTGATAGTGCACCTCCTCGTGCATTTCTTTAACGCCTGAGTTGGCTTTCTTATTTTCCCGTTAACGTCATGCTTTTTAACAATCACCTTTTGGTGATTCCGGTAATTCTGGAAGTTCTATGACCGTCTGAGGCCTACGCTTATTCTGCTGCTATGCGCAGCGTTCAATGTTTAGTGTTTTACATGACCACATCACTCCAAGTCGGTTGCTCAACGCTTCGCACAGCCGCATTCTTCACACACATAAACGTGTCCGCCGTCCTCCTTAGCGTCTCTTTAGAGTACGACAGTACACTGCATTCCTAATCATCTTGATTCACAATGGCACGACGACACGGTAATACCTGAAGCACATCGAAAGTTTAATTTTGTAAAATTAAGCGTCCCTCTTGATTCTAAGATCCTTAAAAAGCGACGATACATTCATTAGGTACATCGTAACGATGTACGCATCACTTGTCGCGAATTTCAGCCTCGTCATGCCAGCGAAATTTTTCATTACATGTATTTATCGAAAGGTCGATGCCTGCGTGTGGCTTGGTCTGCTCCAGCTATACTAAATGATAGTGGTTATCGCGATGTTGTCAAATATCGGAATTCTAGTCTGCAGTCTGCTAGCAGAAGAAGCTTAAGGCCGTGCTCCATGCCGAGTATCGTGGCAGCGAGGTTAGAGTTAGACAGGAAAAAAAAAGCATAAAACGGCGTCAACTTTTATATTGAAGTCCTGTGAGTGATTACGAGAATGTTAATGCGTGTGTTTGTTTCTCTAGTTTTTCGATTGTTAGCATCATTGCGATAACCACTATCATGTAGTATAGCTGGAGCAGACCGAGCCAGACGCAGGCATCAGCCTCTTGATAAATATACATCTAAAGAAAGATTTCGCTGGCATGACGAGGCATGACGAGCGCTAACTTCTAACCAAGTTTATTGTGCAGAGCGCCGAAACATACAAAAAAGACAGCAAACCATGTGACAAAAAGACACGTGGCAACAAACCATGTGACCAAAATGAGCAACGCAAAAAATTGTAAGGTAAAAAAAAGACAAAAACCAAGAAAAAATTTTGAGGAAACGATACAGAAAACTGAAAGAAATAAATCTAGTGGCGTGCGCTGATACTCTCGAGGAACTTCAATTTCTTTTCAGACAGAGACACGGAAGGCTTGCTAACGCATGAAACCTGTTCGCGTGCCATCTGCGCATTGTTTTGTCGTTGCTCTTGGCCGAAAAAATTGGGTCTGTCTGATTCACTATGTGATGGGCATAAGGTTGGCATGTTACGATTTCACGAGATTTCGTGGCAGTCTGCTAGCAGATGAAACTTAGAGCTGCGCTTCATGCCGAGTATCCTGGCAGTGAGGTGATAGTTAGAAAAAAGGATAAAAACAGCGTCAGCTTTTATATTGAAGTCCTTTGAGTGAGTACGAGAATGTTCATGCGTGTGTTGTTTGTATGCCTCATTCTTGTCACATGGTTTGCTGTCTTCTTTGTATGTTTCGGAACTCTGCACAATAAACTTGGTGAGAAGTTAGCGCTCGTCTTCGTGTCCCTTTGTCATCATTCTGAGCTCACGCTATTACAATCGTCATATCCTATCAACTAGCCCAAATCACCACGCTTCTATGACAAAGAGCTATGAAAACGTTATAACAGTTCCTATGAGCAACAACACGGCACGCATGATTGTGCCACTCATAAGTGTCAGCCTGTGCTGGGTACGCCATACGTACGTACATACGTACGTACATACGTATGTATGTATGTATGTAATTATGTAATTATGTATGTATGTATGTATGTATGTATGTATGTAATTATGTATGTATGTATGTATGTAATTATGTATGTATGTATGTATGTATGTATGTATGTAATTATGCAATTATGTATGTATGTATGTATGTATTATGTACGTATGTATTTATGTCTATCTATCTATCTATCTATCTAATCTTATTCCTCACACCACAGTGAAGGATAGCAAGCTGGGCATTTTTCATTTAACCTTCCTAACTCCCCTCTCTCTGACTAAATTGTCGACAAGACGAGTGATAGACCTCTGCATCAAGCTTTTTTTTTTTTCAATTTGATCCGTAAAAAAAATCAATGGCACCTAAGTTCCTCCCTCTTCTGCTCAACTTTTTTTGCCAGGACTGTGACCACGTGTTGGAGACGGAACCCGTGTCACATCGAGGTGCGGGACGTTTCGTGGGCTACGCTGCTCCACCAGCACCGCCTCCGCCGCCGCCTCCTTCACGACTCAAGCACAGGGTGCGGCCTCTGCACGAGGACGAGAGATTACACGGTAGCCTCCGGCGGGGCAGCCGCCGCCATCACCACCGACGCCGGCAGCACTGCTGCTCACAGTTCATCAACTGCATGCTGGGCAACGAGCGGTACCGAGACGAAATGCGCCGCCGCGCCGACCGCGGCGCCACAGTAAACAGCGTGTCGCAGATAGACAAGGTATCTCGCGTACTCTTCCCGTGTAGCTTCATCGTGATCAATCTCTTCTACTGGTTCAGCTCGGGTCGGGACAGACCCGCCGGCTGGGAAGTGCAGAACAACGCATGACGTTGGAGATAAAGCGAAGCAAAAAATAAAGCACGTGTCGTGCGTTATGGCCGAACGACGCGCAAAAAACTAGGCAGGGAACGCAGTAGTAGAGCAGCATGAAGTTGTAGGGTACACTTCCAACACCGCAGTATTTTAAATGGGACACACGACAACCAGGAAGAGCAGGGAACACCACACAATTCCCACTACATAAACACAGAAAATGGCAAGCACGGATCATCTGTTGCGTGAAAACTTCGCCCTGTCACTAGTGCTCTTAATTAGGGATACAATCATGGGGCTTATTTCAAGAACTGACGTATCGGCCCCCCGAATCGCACCACGAAAGTGTGGGCAATTTAGCACTGGTCCCTTTGACGCGCCAGCGGACACCTGCTGTGGTCCAAAGAACGAGGCAGAGCCGAGGGTGGATAACAAAACAAAATTATATTCTCAAATATCACAGAGCCAACAACACGTACACTCGGCAACAATCCCATACAATAGGTAACCAATCACGAGATACTCCAAACAACGTGCTACACAATACAATAGGACACACGCAAAACGGGTACAAACAACAACAAGCATTGCAATGCGGTCTCGTGAATTAATTACCCAAGGCTATTATAGGCTAAAAAGCTCGTCAAACATATTCAGTTCAAAATTTTTGGAACAAAGCTTGAAACCATCTGTTCAAGGAAACACAGATTCAGTCCAGCGTTGGTTGTCGTTCCGCTGTGTTCGAGGATTCTCTTCTAGGAAACTCTCGCGTCGTCAAATGTCCGCACTTCAAAAACATACCTTTTCACCGGTAACACGTCAGCCATTCACGTGCTGCGACTGCAGAACACGTCTTCGCCCACAGGCGGTGGACACACACTCATCTCTTGCTTGTAAAACAACCCTTCACCCCGCTGGTGGGAAACTCTCTTGGTGCCCTGGTGTGGCTCCCTCCCTAACAGGATGTCACTATTGCGTTCAACTCCTGAAGGCGAACACTTAAGGTCCCCTCATTTTTTTCTGTAAAACGCAGGGAAATTAACTAATTATTATTTATAGACCATTTTCTGCAAGACATATGGGTGCCGCCATCTTGGGCTGTTAAGCCGATGTTTTCTTGTTTCTGTATATCGCAACGGGAATCAATAAGGCCTTGAAACGTCGTATGCATCAACCCGACCCTTTTCATGAGTATGTGTCAGCCGCAACACTGTTCGTTTAGTTGTAAAACATACAAAACAATGGTTAACAGCCCAGTATGGCAGCACTCAAACCCACCCGTAAAGTGGTCTGTAAGCCAGCACTTTTTGACTTATCACGCTTTAGGTGCCAAAATCATTCTAGTTTTCCAGTAAGTCTCGTTGAACGGCACTCCACATAATATGCGGGCTTCGGGCATCCATATTCCTTACAAGATATAGGAGCGACCTTAGCAGCACATTTCATATCCATAATATTAGTTAGTACTTCTAACAATTATCTCTGGACATCGACAACTGAGAGAAGTGAAACGTTATGCTGTGGACAGTAACTCACTAAATGAGGAACTGTATATATTAACACACACTCCTTTTCTTGTTTTTTTTTCTTTACCATAACAACCTAGTGCAAAGGGATAGCCGTGTTAAAATAGTGATCTCAGCGATCGTTTCATTTATTTGTTTATTTCAATAAAATATACCCAAAGAAACGCCCTTGACAACTAACCCTTGTCTTCACGATAAGCACCCCGTCAATCTCTAATTCGGCAAGTGTTATGTTTCTAAGCTGCTGGTCATGGTGCGCTCCATGATGATCAGACGCTATCCCTGGGCAAAGTGCATGAGTTTTGCGACTGTCCGGTGCAGTCTCGTATCTTAAACGACCGTTCACCATTCTACATCCAGTGTCAGTCGTTATGTTGAGCGGATATGCAAACCTTCTATATAAAACACATTGTTCCTTTCTCATTCTACTTACTGTGTCTTCCTTCATCGATGTTTTGCTTACCTGTGTTCACTAACAATCTCAAGACTCTCCGTGTTGTTCCTTCCTGGGCAACTTGAAAGTTATGTAGATAGCGACACCTGAAATGTTTGACTACATGTGATGGAATGTTCATTTTGTTTACTTAATTTTTTTCCTAAGAGCAACAATACCATTATATTTCAAATTTGACCGTCTTGCTTGACTGTACTCACTCACTGTGAGATGGGTCGCATGCATTGTTCATGTGTATTTTATCCATTCGTAAAGCAGGCGCTATAACTACGTCACTATCGTCGGTCACTATTTGGTGGTAACTCATTATTACTGATGAATGAATGAATGAATGAATGAATGAATGAATGAATTTAACCACATACGAAATTTGTGTCTCTGGACTATTTGCTCTTATAGCGACACTTGTGAAAGCACTCATAGGACCGAGTACCGAGTACACTCCATAACTGAGTTCGCTCTCAAAATCAAGTTCGCGCAGTGACCACAAGCACCTAATTTTGTGGGGCCTTTATCTCTTTACTTGGTCAGAGAAATTTTCTCGTTGGGTTGTACTGTGTTTTTATTTTGTCACCAACAGTCTCACATATAACTCGTCCAATTGATACCTGCATGCTACAGTGACCCACTCTGTTTTCCGTTCCGTCATCAGTACTATCTTTTGACAGATTTTTTTTCTAGTCTAGGCATCCCTCTGTTCACGAGAATAAAACAAAAAAGTTTTCACTATTTTGTGAGATTTTTCTGCGTAAGCACAAGCACACGCAGATCTGAGCCCAAATAAATGACGCCAAGTTGTGGAATTAGATATGAGAACTTCCGCACATGCGCAGTTTTGGACGTTGGTGTGTCATCTATTCGTAATCGCAATGACACAACAATCTATCACTTTATTCCTCGCAGTACCCTTTTGTTTTGTGAAATACAACATTAGATATGTCTTTACCCTGCTAATGTTCGAAACAGTGTCGGTAGGTTTCCAGTTGTTTCTATATTGGTGGTGTCTGGCAGTTAATCGCTAGCATTCGCTTTATAGTTTGACTGCTGGCTCTAGTAATGTAACACAGCCTTAAGATTTTTCTCTTCTTTCAATGTCTTCATGAGCACAATGCAAACTAAATGTAAACGCCAACTGAGATTATTGGCTGTTACTTTCACTGTATCAAGACCTTCCTGACCAAATCCTCCATTGGCTTCCCCATCTTACTTCTGTCCATCGAACTTCGTCGTCCCAGACGTGCTCCTATGTAACTTCTGTTCTGTCAACACTGTTGTGAACTTGTCATTGGCTCATGTGCATATGTTATTTATTCCAGGATAGCATACCAGTTATTCTTAGCTGGGTAACTTCTTCCCTGTCTTTCCTCTCCCTTGTTTCCTTCCTTCTTATTCTACTCTACCCATTTTTTACCATCCCTCTTTGGAAGTTCGACACAAGAGTATTACTTGCAGTGCATCCCCCTCCAACATACTTCCGGAATGAAAATGATACTTGCATGACTGGCTGCCCACATTTCAACCATCACTTCCGTCCATCCGGGCGGAAGCCTTATATCGGTTCCACACGGTGCACTGCCGATCGCGAATAAGCCCGATCGGGATCGAATTTATCGGTGAATTTCTTTCAGCAGGTTGTTCAATTGAGCCATTCACGTTCAATAAATCTGATCCGGACCAGGCCCAATCGCGATCGAAATTGCCTGTGTGACATCGGGTAAAGTCCTTAGATTTTTCTCTTTTAAAAAGAAGTGGAACAACACATATCTTAGAATCTACTTGAAAAGGAGCTCTCGCAAACGAGATGTTTGAATGCTCTTAAACTGCTCGTCTTCGGCAATGCGGTTAGCAGTTTAGCAAATACTTATCTGGTCGTTCAATCACCAGCCCATGGAAACCTACCGGCACTGCGGCCCACGTGACCCGCAGTGCATGAGAGCGCAATGTCTCCTGCATTAGCCTATTTTTTATCACGTCATCTGCAGCGTCAGCCGTGTTTACTGTTTCACTATCTTGAGGATCGCGTTACACTACTGCTTACGAAGCTAACCAAGCTCATCCAATATAGTGACATAATCTAGAAACATGTCAAAGAAAGCTCCGTTATGTACTTGAAGACGTCGCGTGCCTAATTCCGTAACTCTGGGAAGAACAGTACCGGCAACCGGCCCATTAACACTGGTAGTACGAATAAGGCGGTATATATGCTTATTTGGAAAACTGAAGTGCTTTCAAAAAGACAAAAACAGCGAGACAGCTGCGACACGCGTTAACATACAACAATGGGCGTATATTGTAAGACATCGCCGAAGCCGGGCCATATGCGCATGTGCACAAGACCCTAAGAAAAATAGCCACGAAAAAATAACATGCGCGAAACCAGCCCCTCCTCCCCCTTCTTTTCTTCAGTTGCTGTTGCTGTCTTGTTTTAATCACACTGCACAAAAGCACTGTGCCTCCAATTTTATGTCAAACGTACGTATTTCATGGTAATATTCTCACTATTCACTGGTTAACTTGATTTATGACAATCCACATGGTGTAGAATGGACGCTTCTCATGTTGGTCTTTTTTGTTGTTTTATGTTTAGCTTTGCATATTACACGTGCCTGCGATACCATGCACTCCAAGAGCTTCATCTAATGATGCACTTCGGTTGATCGTTGTTGCTTGTTAGCGGCGAGATGTGTGTCTGAATGTGTATTTTAAGAAACATCATCTATATATAAGCGTAAAATTAGTACTCTCTTTATTGACCAGTGATATATGTAATGCACGCTTGTTGGAGTAGGTTTTGCCTGATCAAAGTATACATGCACACGCCTTTTTTTCCCTGTTTTTTACAAAGAACAGGTTTGCCAAAACGGGACGTTCTTGATCGAATACCATTTGTCAAAAAAACATGCCTACCTCTTTTTTTGTGAAAATTTTTTTCGTGAATCACGCGCCCAGCGTATACAAAAAAAAATTCGCGGCATTGAATTCGTTCGCGCCTTACCGCGAAATCGGCTGTTTGAGTTTCAACAAAACTTGCCGTA